TTAGTCTTGAATGACTTGTAATAGAAGTAATAAAATCTGCTTTGTTTACAGCAGACTGGCAATTCCAGAGACTAATAGAAAAAGAAAGTAGTGTATTAGTAGACATAGGCAAAGTGCGCAGGTTGTTAGGATTGTGCTGCCTACAGTGTGTGATGCATGGTTTGCATTATATTCATAGGACTTCATCAACATTTTGTAACAGGCTAAATGACCTTCTTATACAGGGTCAATCACACAAAAAGTTAAAGTAATTCTTCATATACAGTATTTCAACAAAATATCATTTAAAAATGAATGAATAGAAATAAAATAAGAGCCAAACAAACAAACGGCCCAGCAAGGGCCAATATTCCTGTCATTAATTTAATTAACAGTTTAGAATATTTTTGTGTGCTTATTGAGGCAGGTTTGTGTCCAGGTGCCACACTGAGGTATTTGTGATGCATTGTGCACACATGAAGCAGAATAGTTTAACAGCTCATTGCTCTCTCAGGTGCTGGTCCTCCATCAGTGCTGAGCTGTACTGTATGTTGTCATACTACTGAATGCACCAGATTACTCAAAATACACATGTAGCCACAGACATGGAGCCCTGCTGCTTCTTGTGGTAGTCAGCTTTTGTGTTTACATGTGTTTCCATAATGTCTGGCGTGATTTATTTTTTTAACAATACAGCAAATCTGACAAATCACTGTGCATTTTGAAGCTTTACAATGTGGCCTTGATTCAACATGCACATTTCCTCAAGGCAAATCTAGCATTTTAATTATACGGTACTAAGCATGTGCTTCATTAGCTATGGTAAGGCAGTTTTCTCTGAAGCCTCAGTACAAATAATGTCCAGATTAGATTCCTTTAAATTATCAGTGCTTACCAAACACTCCAGCAGACGGGCGGGTCGGGCGATGATTATCATCAGCTTTTTAACCAGCTGGGTGACAAATGTCACCTCCCCACTTTCTGAACGCTCATGAGCCTAGCAACAAACAGAAAAAAAAAAACAGATTTGAAATAGCATACTAACATACCAATTACAGTATTCAGTGTGTACTTTTATGAATTGAACACCTTAATGATCTACATTTTTAAAAATGAGCGATACATATTAGATATGAATTCGAGCACACTGGGTGGAATATTATATCCTACAATGTAATGCTTTTAAGTTGACTTTCCGCTTTCACAGTGACGAATGAGTTGGAAGCAATATCATTGGAGATTTTTGACACTCAAAGCACTACAATAAGAGATAGTTGAATGAGGTGTACAAAGAGAGTACATAAAAAGGAAGAGTGTAAAGCAGCAGAAAGGAGAGAGTTCATCAATAGGATAGAGAAGAGCCGTTCAGAGTAGATGGTTAAACAGCCGGCTGACAGTAACAGAGCCATCTCTGACAGACAGCACTGCCACCACAGGGGATGTCTAATCAGCTTCTGAATTATTTATACAGGTAATGAAACCGCCAGTGAATCACACACATTCAGTATAATAAAAGGTCTCTGCACTGAGTAAATACACTATAGACAGACAGAAGTAACAGCAGTGAGAGATACAGGATGAGGGAGGGATCTGGTTTAGCATACCTTAAACTAGATGAAATGAGATACTCTATACTAAGTTATACATAAGGTCAATAAGGTCAAGCATACATAAGGTCAATAGAGGATTCTCAGGATTGCTCTAGGGCCAAACCTCATGGTGACAGCCAGGTCACTTAAGTGACCCGGCCTTGAGATTGGCTCCTGTGGTTTTTAATGATGCAACCATGGGAGACTGAATGATACAGACTGGTCATTTAAAAAGGTAAAACTAGTCTGGCCTTAAGACAAATGTCCAGTTTAATAAATAAAGCCTATAAACAAGGACAAAGACCTTATAGAAAGAAAAACCAAAAGAAAAAAAGAGAAGATGAATGGAACTGTTACTATAACATAATACGAAATAGAGATGCATGATATACCTGTAACCATATCAGTTATAAGCCAATATTAATGATTTTGTGTTAATTTATTGCTATTGGTCAATATTAAATATATATTGGCAGTCATTTAATTGTGCATATTTTTTTTCCAATATAAAATAGTGTAGAACTATAATCAATGTCATGTTATCAAAATTAGTAATATATTGTTGGTATCACCCAGAACGTTAATAACTAAATTCTGTGTTTTAAGTATAGTCATATACTATATTTAAAAATCTTTCAACAATTCACAATTTAAAGTAAACAAGCATATTCTAGTCACAGTCCATGTTTTGAGTGTTAAATTGTCATACCACTGATGTGTCCACAATTCAACAACATAAAACAGCAGCTATCAGACTATGACCTTGACTCAATGCAACTCTGCAAAGTAAAAACAATCAGGAACTCAACTGTTAGATCCACATGGTTTCTGACCGCGCTCTGCTCCCAGCGCTCTAAAACCTGCTGAAGAACCTCCTCTTCCTCCAGCCGCCTCTGCCACGAAACGCAGGACATCCTCTCAGCGAGCGAGGAAGCGTTAAATGGAGAAGTCGGGAATGCTTTTCTGAGCGCACCTGCTGAAGATGCGGTTTAGACCGCGATCCCCGTCTGGCCCACCTGTCACCATCGGCTCCCAAACTAAATCAGCCAATTAGCATGGGCTGGATGATGTCATCCCTACTCGCCTGAATGCCAAGTACGGCTGCGGTGATGCCATGGCGACTGCATGAGATCACGATGTGCACATTTTCGATTCTGGCAGGCAACAGCTACGGGATGGTTATGGACAACCAACCGAAAGAGGGGAAAACCCGACCTGATCCCTCCCTTCCATTCTCACTCCCTCCCTTTCTCTCTCTCCCGCCCCGCACCCTCCTCTTGGGTGCCTGGGATACTCATCCGTCACCAGTGGTGGTTACTGGAGTGTGAAATTAAAATCAGGAAGGTGCTGCACCCCCCCCCATTCCAACCCTACACAACAAACACACACTCTGGTACATTCCTACACACACATGATTTGTGGATTTGGAATGGGACCTCTGGGAGTCATAAAGCTGCCCCTGTGGCACTGTGACCGAGCTAATCAAGACATCAGCGACCTGTATCCTGACTAATGCAGATGTGACAGGTGACCACAGACCCAATAGAAGAAAGAACGATCATCAGGGAACCAAATTCACATGAGATAGAGCTGTTTATGACAGCCCAGCTGTCTAGAGATGACCTTTGCCCTGATGTGATGACATCACCACTTTGGCAGACATGGATTTATGTTTAGGGATCCACAAGAAAGACCTTGCATGACAAGGAGTCAATACCCTTGCTGACAACTTCTTACATACTCTCCACATCTTTGCATACTCACATCTTGGTGTAGCTTCTCCAGGTTCTCCTGTAGTTCATAGAAGTAGCGTGAGGTGATGAGACCCTCACGGGATTTGTCCAGGCAGTCCCGAGCCAATTCTATGACCTGGTGGTGGATGAAGCTCAGGACCCCGTCAGCTAAAGGCATGACTTTGTCAGGAGCTGAGGAGGATATGAAATCAGCCAGCCTTTCCTCCATCTGAGCAGTAGCCTGTGGGACAGAAGGGTCCTGGTAAGGGCTAGGTTGAAACAAAGGCCAAGCCATGGAGAAACAGAGACATCCAGCCACCCACAATTTGTTACTGCACATTTTTTCAAAAAACACTTTATTGTTAGTTTCATTTTATTTATTTTTGTTGTTCTTGCACCAAAACAGCATACTTCTGTTTATAAAGACCACTCACCCACTTTTGTTACAAATAAAATTAAAGAAAATAAGTCTATTTTTTTAAATATTATGCTTATAGGCATAATAGGAAAAAAAGTGTGTATTATTATTTTTTTTTACAGATAGCAAACAACAGACTGATTTATTTATTATTTCTATTATTTATTTATTGTCTGTATACATTAATGCTAATTAGTGTCTTGCTGTTTTTATTTATTTTAATTAATGTTAAACACGGTTTATTTATTATTTAATATGTATATTAATTAATATGTATATTATATATTTATATATGTATATTACATATTTAATATGTATATTAATTAATTAATATGACTTTTTTCTCTTTCTCCTCTGTCGCTATGTGTATCAATGCTCTGGCAATGCAACGTGAAAAAAAAGGCAGTGCTCATATCCAATATTCTTTTGTTGTGCAAGTTCATCAGCTTTAGACCTCACCTTAGGGAAACGCTCCTTGTAGACATGGTTCATCATGACGATCTCATGGTCAAATGAAATGGGTGAGCGTCCAGGGCTGAAGAAGAGAATACAGAAACAAAAATAAGTGAAGAAAGAAATCAAAAAATGGGACTTAACCGTTTTTCTTTTTTTTTAAATAATCATTTATTTTCAACACTAATGTCCCTCTGCCTTCTTGCAGATGTTGTTTGGTGGCCTATACCTGTAATCTAACGTGGATGATAGACTGGAGCACCTGTATTTTCTGACATATCCAACCTCATTCATGTCAAAGTAGTATCTTCAATCAGAGACGCTCCACAGGGAATACTGAGACGCACAGCTTGTGTAGATAAGCGAGTATGTGTGCGTTTCAGTCAGGGCCACCGATTACAGATGCAGCTGGGACCGCATGAGTCACTCCTGTTAGTAAAGGTAAGCTGGTCATGTGACCTCGAGGATGAGGTAATGCTATAAGTCATCAATCGAAGGCTTATGCTCCATATTAGACCTCCTGATTGAATGAAAACTAACCTTAGCACATCTGATCAACCTCCAGGGTGCTGTTGAGAAATGTGCCGACACACACTTACACACTAAATTGGCTCATCTACAGGCATGTCAGTAACAATAAGCAACGGGGAGAAATATTCTAGTCAAATCTTCAACTTACTTGAGAGCCATTTCAATCAAAAATTACGATCCGACCATGGCTGCGGTAAAGGTTAACTCTGACAGAGATTGATTCGTAGCCGAAGGGAGCTGCATTAACAATCACACAGAGAATATTTCTCCTGCTGAGTGAAGGTAGAGAGAAAAGACAAGGGAAAATAAAAAAATAAAATGCCTTAGAGCGATCCTCTACTTTTATTAAATAAGGAATTTAGTGTGTGCAAAGAATCAATGTGAACCTCCTGCGGCACAATAACATTCTGCATTTAGACAGATGATAATTAGTGAATGTAATTATTTTTCTCTGATGGACGCAGAAATGTCCTTGCAGCCCCAAAAATCATCATGTTTTTGAGAAATGACCTTGTAAAAAGATTCTCATTATAATTTTAAACCAAATGGATTTAATTGAAGTAGATGTTCTGTTCAGGATCATTCAGGAAATAACAGAGGGAAGGACAGCTATTCATATGTGACTTGTTATGGGACAAAACCATAAAGACTGCTCACTTATTTTAGAAAGTATAAAAAGAGAAATAGAGGAATAAAAGGAGAGGAATATATTTAAACACATTCCCAACTCTAAGTATGAAACTTTGACATACCTACACAATCTGATGATTGTGACTTGTACTCACAATTCTGACTTTTTTTTCTTCTCGCAATTGTGAGCTCAGCTTACATCTCACAATTCTGTCTTTTTTCTTCTTCTCAGAATTACATGATACAAACGTGCAATTCTGGCATTTTTTTTCTCAGAATTGAGAGTTATAACCTGGCAGTTGCAAGTTATAAAGTCAGTATTGCATGATATAAACTCACATTTGTGTGAAAAAAACTCAGAATTGCAAGTTTATATCTTGCAAATGCGAGTTAAGTCAGAATTGTGAGATAAAAACTCACAATTCTGAGAACATAAGGGTCTTTTTTCCCCCTCAGACTTGGACTTCATAGCTCACAATTTTGAGTTTATATCTCCCAATTCTGAGAAAAAAAGTCAGAATTGCGTGAAAAAAAGTTAGAATTGCAAGAAACAAACTCGCATTTGCGAGGAAAAAGGTTCATAACTCACAATTGTGAGTTTATATCATGTAGTTCTGAGAAACAAGTCAGAATTGCAAGTTTGTATTATGCAATTCTGAGAGAAAAAAGTCAAAATTGTGAGCTAAAAAGTCTCAATTACCTTTTTTTAATTGTTTATTCAGTGGCGGAAATGGGCTTTCATAGATAGCTGTGCTCTTACATTTCCAAGGAATTTGGACTTTTTTGTGTCCAAATATGCCCATGTCCTAATATACTGTAAACAATAAGCAGTCTATAAAATGTCAAATGTAATATGTTTGAACATTCAGCATTCCTAAAACCGGAAGCAGACAACATCCAATTTTTCATTTCAATTTTTGAAAGGAGTATGCTACACCCACCAAGGCTGCAGTTTTTGATCAATAATAGTAAAAAAAAAAAAAACATTGTGAAATTTTACAACAATTTATTTAAAAGCGTTTATTTAAAATATAAATCTTCTGTAGCACAGTAGTGCATTATGTCCGTATTCTATTCATACACATACATACAGAACATACTTTATTTTATTTTTTTATCAAATAAAGTATTTGTAAAGTATTTTGTCACAGGAAACAGCCTGGTATTTTGTCACTTACATCATCATGTTTAGGATATAATAAGGGAATAAAGACTGTAACCTCCAAAAGCACCCACAACATCATAGTGTTGAGAGAGTTGAGTGTTGAGATAGACAAAAGATAGACAAAAGGCAAACAAAGGAAGGGACTGCCAGAGAGAGAGAGAGAGGAGGGGAAGAGAGTGTGTAAAATGTGTCACAGTTGAGCACAGAAATAACCTCTAAATCCCTCCGAGGAGCTGGAAACCAGGGAAATCAGCTAGTTAATTGGCCGTGACAGAGTGGTCTGCACTAACACAAACACACAATTGGATGACATCACCAACAAAGCCACATACACCATCATAGTCATTTTATATTATGTGAAAGTGTAATCAAAATTAATGTTAATTTCAAGAAGAAAAAAAAGCCAGTAGAAATGTATTCTGTCACTGAGGTATTTATTAAAATAATATTCTAATCTCCAGCTACTGCTACAAAATCACTTGACATATGGATGATGGATGGTGACCACTGTACGTTGAGCTCATTACTCCTCGAGTATGTGTTTGAGTGAGTTAAAAGATGGAAAGAATAAGAATGATGGAGAACCGTGTATGACCACGGCATGAAGAAGCGTCCCTGTCAATTCTCTCTGCACGTCTGCTGTCCGGGGCATGATATTAGCATAATATTGCTCCATTTCCTCATCTCTAATTAACCAGTTCTAGCTCTGACTGCAAATCCCCTCTACCTCCCCCTCCGTCCAGTCGTTTCATCCTTCTCTCCCTTCTTTCAACAGTAGAAATGGATAATCCTGGGAAGCTGTAATCTGTAAGATGTGGCAACAGCAAACCTCTCTACCTCATCCAATATTTATGGATATAATTCTGGAGTTCTGAACCCCCTGCTGAGTGTGTCTAGATACTAAAAGAGGCAAGGCCAGTGTTTTCTGAATAAGTCATCTTAACTGAAAAAGAGAAAGAGCCAGAGGGGAAAGAAAGAGAGGAAGAGAGATGTGTTTACAGATAAGAAGCTCATGAAGGAGGTCTCTTTTAGAGCGTTGAGGAAGAAATGATTTAGTCTGTCAAGTCCTGGGCAGAAGTGTGAGTGACTACTAGAGTAATCATACAACTCTTTTGCAGAGAAAGACAGTGGATAAGAAGAACCCAGGTCTCACATAAAAATCAAAAGAAAAAATATATACAGATTTTACATTTCACAAAGATTTTGAAGCCTATTGTAGGACCATTCAGATTTTATTTATGTATTTATTTTGGATAGTGTGACATATTTCTTGGATATTATTTTCATTACAAATATGCACATTTCCCCTCTATCACTCACATGATGAATTTAGACATTTAACTTCTGAGTTTTTTTTTTTGTTGTAATTTGCATTATCCGTAGTGATTCTCATTCTCTCAATATTGTAGTACAGTTTTTTTTTTTTTTTAAATCACAGCATTAAAGTAGAATTTAATTAAATCAGAATAAAGGCAGTACATTTGGACATTTAACCTTTTTTTTATAATTTTCATTGTTCTCTGTGCTTTTTCTTATTATTGTAAAGTTTTCTCTTTTTAATCACAGAACTAAAGTAGCAGGAATTCTTCAGAAATTTAGTATTAAATGAGAGTATAGGCAGTACAATAAATACTACCTTTTAAAAATATGTAATTTTAAAACTTGTATACGTATATAAGTTTATTTTAAATTCAATAATTACAGATTTTTGATTTTTGCTTTAAATTAATGAAAACTGGTGGACTTAATTCATTAAATTCCTTTCACAATGGAAAAATGGAAAATAGATTTCTCATGAAAACAAAAAGTTATTTCGTTTTTTTTATTTTGGGGTGAAATATTTCATTCAGAAACATGGCTTTTCATATCACTGCTATGCTGATGACACTCAACTCTACCTCTCATTCCATCCTGATGATCCGACAATAGCTGCTTGCATCTCAGCATGTCTAACAGACATTTCTTGTTGGATGACGGACCATCACCTTAGGCTAACCGAGACTTGTCATTTGCACTTACATATTGTTGCTCTTTTGTTAGTTTTGACTGCTTTTATTGTCCTCATTTGTAAGTCGCTTTGGATAAAATCGTCTGCTAAATGACTAAAATAAATAAATACAAAAATATGACTTGGACACATTGACAGGCAGAGAGAAGCATTAAGAAAGTGTGAAGACAGAGGAGTGAAGAGGCATCAATGTGAAGGGCACAAAGGCTGAATAGCATGTCTGCTACCTTGGAGGAGTCAGGAGTCTAGAGAATGAGGTGTGGCAGTTTCCTGTCAGAGCTCAAGATTTGGCCTTTAAAAGTGAATGAGTGAGAGCCTGAGGGCCCAGCTGACATCACAAACTCACAACACCATGTTCACTTGAAGGGCAACGTTTGATTGCTGCGAAATGGGAATCTGTAAGTGTTAGTACCTGAGACTGCGGGAGCGCGGCCGCATGGCTGGAGATCTTCTCCCATCCTCGTCCGTGATATTCTCCGAGCTGAAGTGTTTGGTGAGGAAATGCAGCTCATCTGCAGTGGGCTGGAAGGGCAACTGGTGCAGCTTCTCCTGAGATGAACATGATGACTGTGAGAAGCAGAGAGGGAGGGATTACAAGGATAGAAGGCATTGCATAGGCTGCCCTGACTGCCAATCAACTGCCTTTGTTGGCATAATGTTGTTGATTGTTATTGTTGTTGATTGTTAATTTGAATCTTGGCAGGACATTTTTCCTCAAAACATTCAGGCCAAATGGAAAAAAATATTGAGAATACAACTTAAAAATTTGCAGTAATATAGCTTTTTTTAAATAACCAACTAAGAAAATGTTAGGTTATATTACAACTAAGTTACTAATTATATTGAGGGAATTATATTCTAAAGGAAATTAAGCCTAATTTTAAGACCATTAAGCCTTTCTGCATTGTGACATTATTTAACTTCTTATTACTTTAATACCAAAAGAAAAAAAGCATTCTCATTACTATAAAACATAATGATAATTGCCATTAAAATAATGTCACACTGTAAAAAAAATCTTAATGACCCTAACAATAAGCTTTATTTCCATTATGATATCATTTCTTATTTCTTGACATTTCCTAAGAGTTTTTGTGAGCTGCACCCAGTTAAAAAAAAAAGACATTTGTTCTTAATCAGTAGCTTTCCCCCCTTGTGTTTACAGTTGAATAAAAGCTCTGCAGCCTTTAGAATATAAATTTGGCCTAAACAAGAAAATGTCTTTTTATCTTTCTGCAGAGACTTTAATGGGGCTTGTGCGGTTTTGAACCGATTCCCCAATGAAAGCAACAGCCAGACTGAGTTACAGTCAATTTTCAGGGACAGAACTCTTTTGAAGTGAATGCACTGATATGAAGCCACTGGCTTCACTTTAGGCTAAAGGGAGCTGCTTTGTACCTAGAGTTTATCCCACTGTAGAGTCAATAGGATAAACCTTCTGGGAATGTTAAGGCTTGGGATCAAATGCAATACCAAACAGACATGCATATATCTGAGGGTTGATACAACACAGAGGGACTACAGAAAGAACATGAGCACAAACACACACAGACACTCACCGAGACTGTTGAGCTCGGGGTGTTGGTTCCATAGCCAGAGGAGGGCAGAGAGGCAAGAGACCAGCGACGACCATCCGTCCTAAAAGTGTGGATATCGGGAAAATGAAAATCTGTTTTTTTTTTAATTACTGCTGATATACTTCAAAGTAATAAGGACCAGCAGAAATAAGCAGCACTAAAGAGCTTTCAGACGAGCAATGGTAAAATATCACACAATCAAAGCAGAATAAAGCACCACAGATTAAAATGTCCACATTAACTGACATTTGAACAATAAACAATAACGATGATTATTGCATTCAACTGTGCAGCTCAATAAGGCTTGCATACAAGAGCCATAAGCATTTGTGCTAATGGCTACGCTGCCCGGACAGGAACTTATGTGTACTTTTATTGCAGATACACATATGAAGCCTTGTCATGCAAATAGCACAGTGTGAATTCAATGGCTTGATGGCTTTAATCACACAACAGCAATACGTTCACTTATCACTCAAACACATGAACCAATGATGACTGACATTAGGAATTTAACAGACTGTCAGCATCCCTTTACTTTGACAAAATAAGGAACTTTAATCGGTTTGACCCCTGACTGCAATGTGCATTGTGCAAAACACACAAAAGACTGCAAGGATTTGAATAACAAATTACAAACAAGCAAACAAGCAAATAAACACAAGTGTTCAAAATTTGGTGTCTGGAAGATTTTTTGAAAGAAATTAATACTTTTATTCAGCAAGGGTGCATCAAATTGATTAAAAGTGAATGCAAAGACATTTTTAATGTTACAAAATTTTTCTATTTCGAAGAAATGCTGTTATTTTGGAATTTTTTAACCATCAAAGAATTAAAAAATGATCTGTTTCCACAAAACTATTAAGCAGCACAACTTTTCACAACACTGATAATAATAACAAATGTTTAGTGACCAGTAAATCAGCATATCTGAATGAATTCTGAAGGATTATGCGACACTGGAGACTGGAGTAATGACTGCTGAAGACTCAGCTATCAAAGGAATAAATTATATTTTGAAATATATTTAAATATAAAACAGTTATTTTAAGGTCTATAATGTTACAAGTACAATACATTTCAAAATATTACTAGTTGTACTATATTTTTGATTAAATAAATGCAGCCTTGGTGAGCATAAGCGAGTTCTTTCAAAAACATTAAAAAATGTATCAAAACCAAACTTTTGATTGGTAGTGTGCATAATCATAAATCGTTCTGATGAAAAAATATTCCACAAGAAAACCTGCATCCAAAATGTTGCCATATTTTTTACTTAAAAGTATAAAGTATTTACTTTAGTTATTTTGGTGAAAAATAAAATGATTTATGCAAAGCACAGAAGTCTGTGGAATATTTTTGAAGATTAAATATCAGTTCTAAGCACACAGTCAAGCTGTTTGTATCCAGCCAGCTGAACGAGGTGGGATGATTAATAATTTATCATTCCGAATCTGATACATAAATGAAGTTGTCAGAGATGTTTTTAAACAGATCTGACTGTCAGCTCTAATGAAATGGAAACATGATGGTTTTTGTAAACAGCCATGCTGGAAGCACACACAGGAAATGATGTTGTAAAGGAAGCAGGCGATTATTACCTGTCAGGCCTGTGTCCATGGCTGTATGGAAGAAAGTAAAGCATTAAAAAGTGATGCTGTGAGGGCATCTATGTGTGTGTGTATGCACTGATCTAATGTATCTCTCACTATGACCTTCACAAACTAGAAGTTTCAGCTCTTGCTCACGCTGAACGCAGAATTTATATACACCCGAACTGGATTCTTATTTCTAAAACCACTTGCATTATTAGAGTGCTGTACTGTGTCCATTAGGTGGCACTGTTGGTCCATGAGCATTTTGGACTGGATGACTCAATGGTCTTGCTCTATGGCTGACATTCAAACGAATCCTTTTAATTAAGCCTGGGGTCATCAGCTCTGTGTGTTCTCTCCCAGTTGTTAAAGCATTACCATCTTTTGCTGCTCAATTACCAATTCAGATTCACTCATTAACATTCTTGGTGTCATTATTCAGAGCTACAGTGAAGGATTATGGGATATTACAAATTAATTGAAAGTGGGGTGCTTAATAACCAGCAGATGAGAAGCAAACGATGACAACAATATTTGCAAGAAGAGCGAAGAGATATTACTTGCTCAAACTTTAATTTGGAAACATTTTAAGACTGTAGAAAGTTATATTAAAACTCATTCCCAGAATGTGGAGTATTTTATGATTAAATGTTTTGAACTATAAGATTCTGATAAAGTGTGAGAGATCGACCTTTGACCTGTGATGTCACTCACCTGCGAGCTGGCACAAAAGAGAAGTGGGCCGCAGTGTTTGGAGAGAAATTACGTGGGCTGTCCAAAGGGCTGCTTCCTGAAAGAGACCAAAAATGTGACATTTAGTGAATTATTCGCAACAATCAAGTTCAACTGCCCACTATCAGGTCAGGCTGGTACAAATGATTGTCGAAATAAGCACAGACTTCATACTTCAGGCTACCAGGAGACACATTATGCCCGTCATAAGTAAACGCAATTGCCCTAAGGTTCTTACCTCTTCTATCCTGCTGATCTTTCCCATTTATTTTATTCATCAAAGCCCTTTTAAGATAACAAAACCCTTTAGAAGAGTGGGCTTCTTATGTAGGCCGCATTGAGACCAGAGGTACAGGGATAAAACACACTTTGATCACGGTCTTTTTTATTCTCCTGCACAGCTCTCTGAGAATAGATTAGTGCTTAGAGAGAGAAGCACTTACAGTGTTTAAGTGCTTTAGACAACAGGCCTCTCCATCAAAAATGCCTCACGTGGAGTGATATTGCATAATGAATGTTATTTAATGATTTGCGGACCATGAGCAAAGAATCCTTTTTTGATTAACTCAAGCTCAAATTCATATTCAAGGGATTTTGCCTAGAACAGAGTCTTTATCTCATTTCCACTGGTATTTAAATGGCAAGAAGATTTCATATCCTGGGCTCGATCGCTGTGTGGTACATTTTTACATTATAATTTAATATGAAATGCATAAGAGTATAGCTTATAGATTAAAACGTACATGACTGCTATGACTAATGTTACTAGATAAAAAAGAAGAAAATTTGATCTAAAAACCACTAGTGCTAGTCATGTGTGAATTAAGGAGCATAGATACAGGTATCATCAATCAATCCAGTCAATCCGAGCAATGGGGCGCTCCTATCTGGACTGTGTGGTACGGCTCGGGTCACAATCCCCCATGCATTAATCATGCATTAATGCATTCGTCAAGCGGCCTATGCCAAATCTTAAATATTAATGAGTGCATAATTCTTTGTCAGGAAGTGACTATAGGAACAGCTGCGCACAGCTGGACTGGGACAGTGTAGTGTGGATCTGTCACGGAGATGCATTCATTTAAAGGAGATTCCCGTCACGGAGAGTGTAGGAGACGGCACAATGGTGTGCTACACAGTGAAACACCTGCTTATTTTTCATCATGAAGGCTGTAGTGGAAGAAGGGTTCGCTGAAGAGATGCAGACACCCTCTCATACGATACACAGCTGAGAGAAGAAAACCAATCAGCACCCTGTTGAATTACACATGCTACGTTCACACCACAGCTGAATGTGGTACGGATGAGGTTTTTGGATGATAGTGTGAAAAATCACACAGAATCTGACATTTTCAACTTTCCTATGTGGAAATAAACTGCATACTGATTTTTTAAAATGTGACTTCAATAAGAACACAGAGGAATTCATGCAATGTTCAGTCATTTTAACTCACCATTCTTATAACCGCATGATTAATTTATCCTTCCTTCACTCATAATATCAATGTATATATTGCACAATATTAAGTAATATACAGAAAGGTCCAAAAATACTTACATTTCTATATAAATCAAATGTTGTGACACTTACTTTGGGAAAAAAAAAGTGTTAAAATATGAATGTAATAAATTTAAGAGAGAAAGTCCAATGTTATTTGTATTTATAATAATAATAACAATCATAATAATTAGTGCTGTCAAACGATTAATCGCATACAAAATAAAAGTTTTTGTTTACATAATATATGTGTGTGTACTGTGTATATTTATTATGTATATATACATTCACTCACATACAGCATATATTTTGGAAATATTTACATGCATATACATTCATATATTTATATTCTTATATTTTATATTATATATAAACATATTTAATATATAAACATAACATATTTTTCTTAAATATATACATGCATGTGTTTGTATTTATATATGCGTATTACACGGCTCTGTGGAATACTTGATTCTGATCGGTCAGTCACGACATTCCGAGGTATGTTATCCCTCGATAACAACCGGTAAAAGCTGATAACACAGGCTCATCCGGGTAACTGAAGTCGGCACCCTACTCTTGCTAGGATAGTTTTTTTTCTTGGTGGAAGCTTTGCGTTTGTTTAGCTAATAAAATATTAAATTAAAACTCGAAATGGTGTACAATTATTTAATTATGGCACTCTCTCGTTCCATACAAACGCAGCTGCTGCCATTTTGCTACTATTGTTTTGTACGCTGTAATGGATTATAAGATAACTAACAAACTGGTAAGATTTTAAAA